TCTTGGATCAACATGTCAGCATTTGGCCTAACGGGGACAATAAAAACACTCAGTGTTTTCTGGAGTTGGTTTAACGTTTATTGAACTTTAGCTGTAAGCACGTCTCAGACCGGTCCCCTCAGTGTCCCGGTCTGGGTGCTTCTGGGTAAAAAATGTTTCATGATGTGTTGTCATCAACATCCTCACCGGAATTTTATTTCTCTGTGATGTTATACAAGCCTGAAATCCTATTATCAGATCTTGGCACAGCCACAAAAGACACCCTTCAAGGTGGTCTAAGGACTGCATCTTATTACTTANCTTATGTATAGCGACTACAACCATGGGGCCATAATCTACTCAGAGCCACAAAATTCAGTTAGACTTGATTTTTTGGTATATCAAATACGGCGGGACCCTAACCACCCATATCGTGCATTCAAGTTGGGGCATTAAAGTGTTGACCAGAATACAGCATCATTCCTTTATCTTCATAATATGCATCCCGTGGCAGTCCTTGTCATCTAAGGCTTGTAGACTTGAAGAAACACTAACAAGCTTCCGGTTCGCCACCCATGAATGATAAATTCACACAACAGCGTATTTTTTACTCGTAAATCCATGTGTGGCATTCGTCTCTTTGCCCGGTCGATCTATTTGTAGGTGGGAACACCTGGTGATATATATATCCTTTGGGACAAGTTATATATGACCTCGTATGCACGCCCCACAACAAACCTTTTCGGAACCAAGAGTTACCACTGGATGAGGCACTGAGTAAACATCCTTCTCTCTTTTCTGACAACACGCGCTGACGGTTCTTGCTTGCTCTTTGTGTGCTATATAGATAGATATGCGAACCCTGGAGCATTTAAATCATCGACTGGCTACACTTTTTTTCGAACAAACATGGATGGGCATCCCCAGGGTATGAGCTGGTTGACACAGTGGTCGCACACAAGCATCCCATGCGATAGGTTCTTATTTCAGAGCCCGTACGAGACGGTAGCTACACCCTACTGATGAGCCTTTTTGAGAGCGAAACTCGAATATACGGCTGAGTGAATGAATTGAGGGTTTTCCTTGAGCGTGAAGTCCGAAATATGGTCTCAGTCAGCATCACTAAAAATTATCCCACATCACCACTCGCAAGTAACTGTGAGTTAATTGTGAACAACTATTTTGGCCATTGCACACTTTTTTATTTCAGGTTTACCTGGCCGTCTACGGGATCAGAACCGGTCTAAAGCGCTTCCACTGACCGCCCTGAAAAATCAAAAGGTGACTGAGGTTAGTACGGACAGATCTCGATTACCACCGGTACGTTCCCTTTTTCTGTTGACTTTTCTATTGATAACGGAATATTCATACACATGTGGGACTAGAGTATCAGCTTTTGCCATAATTGTCACGATACCCCCCCCTCCCACCTTCATTCCTACAAAAGGCATTATTTAGCCCAGGAATTCGCCTAAACGCGCATATCTGTGCTGTTGATTCATTCTCTCTCATACACACCACGGATTAATTAATTTTCACAGTGAGTATCTTATGAGTAGCACACAGCCTCATGTTTTGAGCCATGTTACAACCGAACCCTTAGACGAAACTATTATATAATGCCTGAACAGCATCGATTTCCTTATTCAGTCTCATAACCTTTTCCAGCCTTTGTTTTTTCCGGTCGACTCACTTTCATGCTCTGAGCGTGTCGCGGGTGAGGCCAGAGACTTTCATCTGACAGCGAATTTCATCGGTAAACTCTTTATCAACCAGGCAAATGTTTGTTTATTTTCTTGTATCCGCGTGCGTTTTGATGCAGTGCAATCCTCCTCAGAAATTACTATAGATGCTCTAACCCTTGTCAAGTGATTCCGTGATATGTTGTAACAGATTACTGCGGTGGGGCTATAGCAGTTAAAATTACCACTCCAGTGACCCGAATATCGTGCGCTCTAATCTCGTCACCACCACCATCCAGCTTCTCGTTACTGAAGTACTTCCTCCAGTCCTCTTTCCTGAAAAATTGACCGTAATATCTAATCAATAGATAATAAAGTAAAAATGACTATAATTTAAAATGAATAATAATAACATTTGCTTTTCGTATACCCTGTTCAATTCGTACGCCTTACCATTTTGGTGCCAACGTAACCGCGAGTTTGCAGCTCATTCATGTATATCTATCCGATTTGTGTCAATCGCACATACAGTTATAATTTACCTGTATGAGAATCACGGCTGGAGCATCGCTCTCTGATCATCGTAATTGGCACACAAAACATAACTGATAGGCTTGTCATTGTTAACTGAATCCAGTATTGATCGTCACCTCCCCCCCCCCCCCCCCCGNCCCCCCCCTCCCTCCGTCTCACAGATAACTACGGTGGCATTCTGGTCGGATCAAATGACCAAATAGTACCTAAACAGATTAATTACTTCAAGTTCACTCTGCTGCACAACACGCAAACCATTACTCGATTAGTCGTACCAACCACCATGTGTGCAAAATTGAATCTTTTCCTTTTCAATCAGTGTGCTTCTCTTTTTGGGTCGTCAGTAACTATTTTATTCGCTGTTGACTTGTAACTGTTCATCATTATTTCTAATTGCCCATTCCACGGGATTTCACCTGCCCTTAGACAAAAATCCGCCTTCTCTGTGTAGGTCGACCTGCACATTCTCCTGTGCCATGATCTGTCATTTGACACTGCACCTAGGATTCAGAACTTCTTTGCATTCGGGGGACATGTTGTCGATGCACGCAAAACTTTTCTGACCTGTTTGAATTTCAAATTTCCAAAACATTAGGGAGTAGTGAAATGACTTTTTTTGAAATGATTACAATGTCCCCCTAACCTAATTGCTCAGGAGCTATACATTAAACAAGACAACCATGAACAAGTCGTCTGTTCTAATTCCAACCGTGCCACTTATAGCATCTTATCACAACCTCCTGACTGGCTGTATGCTTCTTGTCCCGGAACGGCGTTTTCATACGACCCCGACGGGCCGTCCTCATAAGTTTTTGAGGATGGAGATTCACCCTTGCTTTTGATTTAACGAAACTCCTGGGTTCGGTGTAGGAGATAGAAGATGTCCCAAATGAATGTTGTCAATCGGTGATCATACCGATTTCAAAGAAAGGTGACATTCTTTTGTGAAAACCGTAGGAATTAATCAGCATTATTTTTAAATTTATCGCTGGTATTATACGCCAACGACTGTCTACCGCACGTGAAAACCAGGCTAACAACTGACGTGATCGAGGTTGTATCGACGACATCTTCATTCTTCGTCGAATTCTAGAACACAAATACTCCTTTAGATGACCCACCATTTTTATCTTCTATAAAGCGGCTTTTGATTCAGTAGACCGCTCTAAACTCTAGAGCTGCCTCTCTCTGAATAGCATGCTCGAGAAGTTAATATCAATATTACAATCCTTTGATACTAATAGTCAAAGCCTAGTTCGAGCTTACGGCACTTTTTCACCCGAGTTCACTACAGAAAGTAGTGTTCGACAGGGTTGCCCTCTCTCTCCGTATCTATTTAACTTTGTCATAGATTTAACTCCTGAAACAGCCCTATCCTCGTGCAAGGATAGCAGTATCGATTTACTCCTAGTTATTACACTATCTGATCTAGGATATGCAGACGATATTGTACTACTAAATGAAGACCCAGGAAAGTTGTAAGCTTTTCTTAAAAGTTTGAGTTCTAGTGTAGCCATGTTCGGTATGCGTTTGGCACCTTAGCAGTGTAAAATATTGCTACAAGATTGGGTTAGTCCAGCACTCAGTCTCACCCTAACTGGGGAAGTAGTAGAGGAAGTAAACAAATTTTGCTATCTGAGCAGCTATATCTCACCCGGCGGATTAATCACAAATGAAGTGTCGGCGCGCATACAGAAGGCTCGGTTGGCATTTACCAACTGGAGATATCTGTGGCGCCGTCATGACCTCCGGCTGTCTTTCAAGGGTCGAGTATATGCTGCAGCCGTTCGGCCAGTTCTGCCTTACGGTGCAGAAGCTTGGCCGGGAACAGGATAAACATAGACTGTCGGTGTTTGAACATCGCTGTCTACGTAGCATTGCACGAGTCTGGTGGGGAAATCGTACGAGCGATACCGTGGTTCGGCGCTGAGTTTTAGGTAATCGCGGTCATCCACTGGAGCAGGTAGTCGACCTTCATAGATTACGCTGGTTGGGACATATGCTATGCATGCCACGCGTGCCATGTTTGTCGAAGCAGGTAGCGGTTGGAAAAAAATCAAGGGTGGTCAAACTAAAACCTGGCATGAGGGTATGAATACTCTGACCAGGAGACTGGCTCACATAGGTTCCGTTAGGCTCCTTGGCTGGGTACCGCGAGATCATGGTCACCGATGGTTAGAGACACTGAGTGATATGGCTGGGTATCGCAAACAGTAGCGCTCATGCATCTACTCATTATTCTTGTAATCTCAGTCTATGCAAATGCGCCATCTTCTGCTTGATTCTACTCTCAACATTCTAATCATCCTTCTGCTGTTTTACCCAAATGGGCAACCAAAAGACAGTAACCGTAACCGGCA